ACACACGTTGTCGTGCGACGACGCTCGCATTAGCGCGCCCGGACCACAGTGTGGTCGGCGTCTGATGCGTCATTGCACGCAAGGAACGCACGGCGACGCGCGAATTCCCTCGACTTTAACCAAGCGTCGACGCGCGATTTCATATTTGTATAACACAAATTTGTACCTTAACAATGGGAAAATAGAAATAAATATGCTATAGGCGAAAATCATGACGCGTCGCGACGCTTCGACTCTGCGCCAGTGCGAGTTGAGCCTTAAGGGAGACCCGTTACCAACGGTGAGTTAATAATAATATATAATAATAACGCTCACACTCAACATAGCCCCGCACTAGGGAAACCCTGTGTCGCGGGTGCCATGGACACACACATAGACAACCACAAATTACACCCAAACTCACGAGAGAAATAAATGTAGGCCATACAAATATTTCTCCCGGCCCGGGAATCGAACCTGGGACCTCTCCGTGGCAGTCCGGCATGGTAACCGTTCGGCCACGGAGGCAGTTATAATAGGTTAGTAGGTTAGGTAGTTATAATAGGTTAAAGATTAAAAGATGATTTAGGTTACGGCACAGTTGGTTATTTAATTTTTTTTTTTACAGTACTTAATCCTGACAAATCTTTAGAAGGGAATTCAAACGCCTTGAGAAGAGGAGATGCCAATTACGTTGAAGTTATACATACGGAAACAACCACACATGGTTTTTTTAATACCCACAAAAAAAACTAAAACTACTACACTACTAAAACTACTACACTACTATAATTACTACACTAAAAATCAACATGACCCACACGTCATATTGATTTTTACCCTCACGGTGGCAAGGATGAACCCGCTTGTCAAGACGATGTCATGTGTAGCCATAACCGTGCTTGGGAATTATTCGCCGCATCTTTAACTCACAATCGTATTATTGGCAATAGATGTCCGACTGTACTTCAAGGTGCTTCAAGCCACCTCAGCTGCTGAACCTTGTACTGGGTTTAATCTGGCTTTGGGCACAAACGATTTGGTCAAATACGGGTAATATACTTATATTTAGATATTTTATGACAATATTTATTTATTTTTATTTATTAATTTTTATATATATTTGATCAAAAGTACCAAGAATAACTTGCATAATTTCGTCGGTGTTTTGTAGAAATGGCGTTATTTTCATATTAAATTAAGTCCAAATTTTTTTTTTATTTATTTGCAAACAGGACATAAATATTATAAATAGTTTTGAAAACCTTCAAAACACCAACGATATGTAAAGACCGATGGGAGTGGAGGAGGCAAAAGAGATTTGTCAGTAGCGAAGCAGGTGGAGGTCCATAGTCTCTGCCTACCACGATGGGAACCCGGCGTGATGATATATATATGTGAATATTTAGACAAACCTTAGTTGCAAATCCAATTCTCAAAAATGGCCGTTGGACATTCACATTGCACAAAACAATGTTGGATTATCACTCATTGCTCGCTACACGTCTGGTCTCTGTTTACTTAAATTTCTAAGGTATAAGGTACACTTCAGGATCAAATGCGAGTTTTCCAATTTTGAGATGTCTTCGTTAAATATACTATTTTATTGATAATCCTACGTTACAAGGCGCATTAATATAGTAAATTCGATAATTAAAAATTTAACAGTTAGGTTAGATAAAAACTTAACGGTTAGGGTACTGAACTTGAGACTACCACTGTAACTGGTGTTGATTAAATTTGATTACCATTTATATTTCATTTCTATTCATATTTTCTTTTTTAAAGGAGGAAGGAAGGAAGGGCACTCCTTCAATGTTTTTGATAAATTCAGAAACGGCTTCTGTTATTACGTATTATAGAGATGTTTTGCAAACTTGGTATTATTTATTGCAACATTTCACATACATACCTATACCTATAGTTGTCACAATGTAAGAGGCCTAATTTGACAGTTAAAGAAAACGGTAGTATACTAGTATTTGATAATATATGGGATATGACTTGACCATTAGGCACATTTTATATTGTGGCGATACGGAATGCAAACGAATTTTTGTAACGATATTGTACATAGCATTACGAATTTTATGGTCCATTGTGTAATTTATAAACTAGATACGAACCAAAACCTTCTGAGGAATGCGCTAGCTTCTTTTTGTAAGAGTTCGTCCAGGGAGGTACAGCAACCAGTCCTATTTCAACCGCCAATCAGTAATAAGAGCATTACTGATTCCGGATTTAAAGGGTAAGTTAGGGTTCTGGTGAAATTATAGGCGCATGGGACCTGTCTACTTATGTCTCAGGGTGACGGGTGCATTGGCAGTACCTCTCAGGTCTTTGCGACTTAAAGCTTTGAGTGGCAGGTCCCATATGCCTGTAATTTCACTAACACCCTTATCCTTCAAAACCGGAACGTAATAATAACTACATTATTCATAACCATAATTCACAATTGTATCTAATGTAAATAGAAAACTATTTCCATTACAAAAGGAGTAATTTTACTTAAGAAGACAAGTTTTCAAAATTGATATATTATTGTCATTAATTGTAACTTGAGGTTTAGTAAAAAAAGTATTACACAATTTACATTATTTAAAATAATAATAATGCACACACTCGTAGCCCCGTACTAGGGAAAACTTGTATTGCGAGTGCCATGGACACACATCACACAATACATCATAGACAACCACAAATTACACCCAAACTTACTAGAGAAATAAATGTAGGCCATACAAATATATCTCCAGGCACGGAAATCGAACCCGGGACTTTTGCGTAGCAGGACGGAGGCAGTTCATTTACAATAAATGTTTAAGTTGTTTGCACCGATTTTGATGCAGTCTACATATACGAATAAAAAAAGGTCTTTTGAGCGTCGATCACAAACGTTACAAGTGACTACACGGACACAGCTGTTTGAATCTTCTAAGGATCCGATCGATTTACTGTACACTATTTCTTTAAGGAAGTACTTATTAAAAAGTTCTGTAGATTTAGGGCCGACGAATGTGGAGGCCAAAAGACCCTAGGCAGCCAATCGTTCTGTCTGGATTTATTATACTGAAATGTGCTTGGTTTTGTATATGATGTAGAGCATCATACTCGTCAGCATTTACATTTAAGCTTTACGATATAATTTTTTTATTTATTATAATAGCAAGTGACAGAATGTACATGTACGCATGGTATTACATGCCAATCTTAACAGTTGCAGTGTCACTTAGAGCTTTAAATCGCAAAGATTTTAGGGGCACTGTCACTACACTTGTCACCCTGACGCATAAGTTGACAAGTCCTTTGTGTCTGTAATTTCACTATCGAACCATCCCCATGCACATCGCGATATCAGTAACAGTTAAGTAATAAGTAACAGCTAATCGCTAAACTTCTTTTTACTTCTGTTTGTCAAAAACCGTAGGTAAGTATACAGGAAAGACGTTTGAATCTTTTACCCACGTCCAATCTTTTATGTCATAGGTACTGTTATGTCGGCTACTCTTCTGCTAAATTTTTTTTTTAATTTGGATCCTACGCAGCTATAGATGTAGCGTTTGTGGACGTTAACAGCATTCTCATCACTTTTTTTTATAATACTAAGTGACGGGACGAACAAGTTGTGTCCTGGTAGTAAGCGACACGCCTGTTTAAAACACAAAGATCTGAGAGGCACTGCCACTGCGCCCGACACCCTGAGACATAAGTTGACAAGTCCCATGTGCCTGTAATTTCACCAGCACCCTTGCCCTTCGAAACTGGAACGCAGTAGTGCTTGGCGGCAGAAATAGGTAAGGTGGCAGTGCTTCCCTGGACAAACTCTTTCACAAGGAGCACTAGTGCTACTAACTACTACATTTAGTCGTAGTAGTAGTAGTACAGCGTGCAACAAAATTGACGTGCTAACAACTGGACGGCGAATGTAATACAAAATCCACGGGAAAATGTCCTAAGTTAATTTATAAAAGCAATGTCATGTAAAGAAATATAAAAAAATTAAAACATTTAATTTAAATTGTAATGTCATTGCATAATGCTTAATTTTACTTTCAACGATTTAAAAACCCTAATATTCACCAAATTTTGCTTCCAGTGAAAACTACTTGAACACAAGAGTAATGGAGTAGCTTAATTAATTTATACAAATTATGTAGAATATTATGACGTATTTTGTTTAAATTCATATAAACAAATGACAAAGGTATGTGGATATATCTCCATAGAAATATTATAAATGTGACAAGAACTGTTTCTCACTGTTTGTTACCTCTCACTATAAAACAGCAGAAGAGACTTAATTAAATTTGTATTGGTTAGGAGATAATAGTTTGTTATGAAGTAATACATTCCTAGGCTATCGTGAAGCGACAGTCATGAACAAAACCAAAAATCGATGTTCCGAATTTTTACATTCTAATTTAACGTAAACCCACACGCTTTCAAGGTATTTCAGATGCTTATCGCAATGCAAGTATTAAATTACCTTAGGTTTATTTTATAATATTCCTATTTTTATAATATTATTATATAAAAAATCTAAAATATTCTTTCGGCGGTATGAAAATTCTGACAAACGTTATTTTAGGGCAAATGTAATTTTGGACTTCTGATAGGTGCCGCAACCGCATGCCGTAAAATTTACAACAATATTTTGTTAGTTATTTATGTTATGTTGTTAATATTTAATAAAAAATCGTTTCAAAAATAAGATTAACATCAAAGCGGTGATAATAGTTAATGATATGATATGTATATGTAAATAGTATCTAATATTATAACCATAAAATTTAATCAAATAATAAAATTTAAAAGCAGGAAAATCTTTTATATCCGCTACATGCCAAGAGATAATCTTATCTTTATTGGAGGATTTGCATTTCTTTGACCATTGTCATGTCAAACAGATTTGGGTAAATTACTATTATTTTTTACAATTACAAAACTATCTCAGCCTTTAAATAGCAGAGAATTTTACTGATAAGTCACATTCTTTGAAAGGTTTTGCAGAATAGAGGGTCATCTTTAAAAGAATGATTACAATTCTCTTAATATTCGCCGCTGCGGTAGCCGGTAAGGTGATTTTTAAACTATTTTATTTAATTTATTTTTTAGAACATGTTAGTATAATTTTCTACAATATCTGTATAAATATGTACCTATTAAAAAATATATTCAACAACTATCAGTTACTAAAAAGATACGTATACAATAATTAATATGTGTGACCTCTGTGACTTGTTCTATGAATTTATCGTCGCAAAGATAAATTTCCTTATTTGATTCTTTCGTCAAGAAGTCATAAACGGAAATTTTAACGCTGAAATCGATGGAACGCTCGGTACCTTATTACAAACACGATTTTCTTTTTTCCGAATTTCACTATTCAACTTTTTTCGGTATAAATTTGTAACTCAGAAATATATTACAGCAGATATATTACAACACACGTATCGTTTGACCGAAATTCAGATAATTTATTGCATATACGTATTCATGTCAATTCAAGTCTTTTCTACAGTCTGTTTCCTATGTGCCCGTACTTTTCTATTCCTGTCCATCCCACTGACTTATTCGATAATATACTTTCTCTACGTACATTAGCCACCCTTATCTTTCCTTCTGCATCATACCTTAAAGATCGTTTCATCTACCACTTCTCTTTGCCATTCTTTTTTTTTTTTTTTAAATAATAACACACACACTCAACATAGCCCCGCACTAGGGAAACCCTGTGTCGCGGGTGCCATGGACACACATATAGACAAGCACAATTTACACCCAAACTCACGAGAGAAACAAATGTAGGTCATACAAATATTTCTCCCGGCCCGGGAATCGAACCTGGGGCCTCTGCGTGGCAGTCCGGCATGGTAACCGTTCGGCCACAGAGGCAGTTAATTCTATCTATCCTCTGTGCCTACATCCTTAATATTCCTGTCCATCCCATTGACTTATTCGTGTCATTGTTTTTGCTTGCCTGAGTATTTCAGGCAAACTTCCGTAATATTAATATTCTTCCTCTACTTTAGCCACTCTTGGCTATCCTTCTGCACCATACCTTAAAGATCGTTTCATCTACCACATCTCTTTGCCATTCTATTCGATCATCTATGCTTATATCCTTAATATTCCTGCCCATTCCACTCACTTGTTTGTGCTATTCATTTTAATTTGCATGAGTATATCAGACAGGCTTCCTTTATTCCTTTATAAAAGTGAAATCCCTTGGTACAGGTTAAGTAACTTCATTTGAATTTGTACCATTTTAATATTATTTAATTTATGTATGGTGTTGAATTTAGTAAGTGTTATTTATTTATCGTAATATATGAAAACAGAATTGGTAAACATTAGTTTAGAAACTGTTATATTGCAAGACAAGTTAGTAACGGCTTTTAAAATTTATCTTACTTTTCTTCACGTGGAGATTGTCTAAAAGAAATTGTTGCCTAGCCGTAAGCCCGCCTGATGATTTTTTTTTATATTGTCACTCGTGTAATTGACTGATTGCAATAAAATATTAATCATGAATACTTTAAATGGGATTCCTATACATTCCTTGGTCCTTGACAGTCATCTCAGTAGTTATACTGAACAAAAAAGGACCATCTAAATGCTCTATGATTTCTAAGTTTTGTTAAAATTACAGGAAGTGTCGTGGAGTCTATTCAGTAATGTAATGACAGGCATAATATATTATGCTTAGGTATAGTCGAAATAGCATAACTTATTCGCATATTGCTATGATTCAGAAATCAGAAAAAGTTATTTCAATTTTAATTCAAATAGTGCGTAAAGATTAAGTTTATAGCCTGGCGACATTTGTAAACTGTGTCCTTGTTTCAGCATCCCACTGTGGCCCACTAATAAGTCTTCCGCGAAGTCCCGTCATCAGTTCATATACACTGTATACAAAGTAAGTTACATTGTATTACATTCCTAGTGTGACCCATTTCGGGGTAAAACTACTCAATACAGTCTCTTGATCATGTGGCTCTGGTTTTATAACGATAAACATATCACAAAAGTCCTTATTCGCATAGTTTTGATAACATATATTAAAATTTTATTGAGCAATAATTGTCTATTTAAACCCACAGCCTCTGCTTTAGAGGCGATAGTATAAACCATTAGGCTACTACGGCTTCTCCTCCATTACATAAAATTAAAAAAAATTAAAACACAACTACTATTATTCGGCAGAGCCAAGTTGAAATCATGGCACAAAATAAAAAAAAAATATTGAAAAAATTGAAACAACTATGTTATGTATATGTTGTAGTTAATTAATTAATAGCATAGAAAAAAACTTGATTGTTTAGTTACTAAAGATAGAAAAAATACAGAAATTTGCTTATTTTAGATAGATAGAAGATTTCTTCTAGACAGCCATAGGATGGAGAGAGACTAAACATGAATAAAAGAGGTGGTGTTAGATTTAAATATTTACACAGACATATATAAAATATTAACAACACATTATACTTATAAACATACTTAATAATAATAAAATATTTCTTTATTTAGGTATACATTCATTAATAAATTTAACATAATTAATAACATTACGTTACATTACATTACATAACCAATAAATTGAATTTTATTAAACAACACATTATACATACGTACATATATATTAATATAACATTATAATATAATAACATACAATTACATAATATATTCCTACATACACAATACATACAATACATGTTTTAAAAGAAGGAGAAGCAACCAAGCAGCAGTGTATTGCTATTGTGAAAGGTAGAATTACTTTACTTGATTTTTAAATATGTTTAACGATTGTGCTTGTGTAATCGTAACAGTTCCAGAATTCCAGTATTTTTTGTATATGTATTTCATATTACGTCTGTTTTCAGTGAAAGACCAAATAATGGACAACAAATACTATTGACCACGACTTCCGTTAACGCTCTCAGCATAAGGTCATCAACTAAATGTGCAATAATCGTGCATGGCATCAACGATCGAGGATTAGGCCCAATGAGCACAGTCGTACGTGATGGTAAGCATTTTAAACCGTCTTAAAGAGGGAAGCTGGTCTTTTTGTGTAACGACAACGAAAAAATGGTCAAATAACCGTTTTAAATAGAAAAAACTAGAACACAATATTCTCTTTTAAAATTAGTTAACATGTTTGACTTATCTGAACTTACCCTAACGATCATATCTGAAATATCATTAAACAATTTCAATATTCTAAAATTAGGTTATGGCTTTTTATGACGTCTCAAAAAAATATTTTCTCACTTACCCGCGTTTTAATCAGCGGACGGCGGAATTATTCCACATGGAAACGGAGCACATGGAACTATTGGGAATAAACATAAATTATTACAAAGATAATTTCCGACACATTTTAAAATTAAACAAAAATACAACAATTATAATATGGGTAGGATAGATTTATTTACGTTTGCGGTTTGAAGTAGGTAACTCGCATTTACGCCATTAATCTTTTTTTTACTGATCATTGTCTACACACTGTAGTGGTGTATAAACTAGCCAGCATACTGGTTTGCTAGTTTGAGTACCAACAAAAATTACATACCACAGTCACTTTGATTTGGCTGACTTAATTAGCTTAAAATTTCAAAGATCGAGTTTATTTACTCCTACTAATTGGCAAGATTTGAGACCCGGTTCTAAATCGTGAATTGTGACTTAATGCATCGAATTCGTCGCTGATTTTGCGATAAACATTATTGCAGTGCTTTTTTGCTTAAGATTAAAGCTGATTCTGAGTAATTATTGCTACACAATCGTTATTTTGAAGTAAAATAAATAAATAAAATTGTTTATTGAATAACGTATTATACAAATGAATAACTAAAGACTAATTATGCGAATAAATGTAAAATATAACACATATACCTGAACTAGGAGAATCCTGAATTTCAGATAAAAAATACTAATTATACAGGTGAATATATGGTGATTAAATTATAAACAAAAAAAATATTGAAATATAAACAAAACAATAATAATAATTAAACAATGAAATGCAAATCATAACCTATTACGCTTAAAGTGAAAAAAATTTAGCAGACAACGATTTGACACAAGTAATATTTTGAATGGACATGGACAAGTTAACATTGTTAACATTGTTTGCCAGGTGAAAGTCGTTCGAATAATATTTAATGCCATGAGATTCTGGTACACCTTTACTTTTAGTGGCAGAAGGTAGAGCTTCTTGTGAATGAGTTTATCTAGGATAGACATAGCAACACTGCCTGCGCTCCGTGTGGGCCGTAGTCAGTAAACTTAAAAAACATAAAATCAAACTCTCTTCACGAAACGGTCGCCGGCGTCGCACATGTCGCTAAAATTTGTAATTTCCTTTTTTTAGAATATTATAAGTCGAAACAGTCCACTAACATTTTATTTCCACTGGGCCTAAATTCGTCCCGGAAAGTACTGTCACTGTAAATATTTCTGCCGCCAAGTAGATGTGAGCATTACTGCATTCTGGTTTTGAAGGGTGAAATTACACGCAGATGAAAATTCTCAACCTTGTGTCAAGGTGACAGGCGCAGTGGCAATGTCCCTCAGATCTTTACGATTTAAAGCACTAAGTGATACTGCAGCTGCTATGGACAGGCGTGTCGCAGAACACCACGCGCACGTCTTGTTTGTCTCATCATATAGATGTCATAAAAAATATAGTTATATAAGTAATGAGTAAAAATAATAAAATTTTTTTTTAGCTCTTCTTACAAGTGGTACCACGAATGTTATTGTTGTGGACTGGTCAGGAGGAGCTGTTGAGGAATGGGCCACACTTTCTTTAGAGCAAGTCTCAAAAGACGCAGTTGAATTAATCAGACTGTTGACAATAACCAGTAGAGCAAATCCATCGAATCTTCATCTTATCGGATTTGATATGGGAGCTCATATCGTTGGTCTCATTGGCAGAACATCTACTTACACCATAGCCAGAATTACGGGTTAGTTTTACATTTTTCTTCCATTATCACTAATAATATTCCAGACAATTACCTGGTCTCCCCTGAGCTGATCGCCACCGAGGTCGTCAGATATATTGCCGCAAATATAGGAAAATTATATATATTATGTCTACTACACATACAACTACCTCCGTAACCGAGCGGTTACCATACTGGTCTGCCAGCCAGGAGTCCCGGGTTCGATTCCCGGGCCGGGATATAGGTATGACTTACATTTATTTATCTCGTGAGTTTGGGTGTAATTTGTGGTTGTCTACGTGTGTGTCCACGGCACCTTCCCTAATGCGGAGCTATGAGTTTGTGTTATGAAAAGAAATTAAAAATAAATTTGTATTAAACCATTAGCAGTGGGAAAGCAGTTGCTTCGCAATTGAGAGGTCAATAGTTCGAATCCCTGTAGCGGCATACACTATGACTTTAATTTCTAAATTACTCGCTAATGGACATAAACCTTGAAAACTTGAAGTCCCCAACCCACATTGGGTCAGCGTAATAGACTATATAGCTTAAACCCTTTCCTTAGAGGCGACCCGTGACCAGAGGTGGGATGTACGAGTGTAATGGGTTAACGATGAAAGATTAGGGTTACAGCCCGTTGGTTATTTTAATTATTGTTTTATTATTACAGGTCTTAATCCGGCTAAATCTTTAGAACGGCATTCAAACGCTTTGAGAAGAGGCGATGCCAATTACGTTGAAGTTATACATACGGAAACATCCACGCACGGTATTTTGAATGGTGTTGGTCATGTTGATTTTTATCCTCACGGTGGCATGGACCAACCCGGCTGTGCGAACGATACTGCGTGTAGCCATAACCGCGCTTGGGAATTATTCGCCGCTTCATTGACTCACGGTCGTAATATTGGCTATAGATGTCCGAGCCAACGCGAAGCCACCTCATCAGAACCTTGTACTGGGTTTACTCTGGCTGTGGGCACAAATGATTTGGTTAAATACGGGTAAGATACAATTTTTATATGTAAATATTTTTACAAAACTGACTGAACTTCTTCTCCTTCTTCTTCTTCTTCTCCTTCTTCTCCTGATTCTCCTCCTTCTCCTCCTCCTCCTCCTCCTCCTCCTCAGAAAACACGGAAACAGGAAAAGGATGGCACATCGTGGCAGGAGGCTAGTTTCGTACGTTAATATAGTAAACTTGACTATTATGTTTCTTTCGTTTTCAGGTCCGGTGTGTACCGTCTTGAAACGACTGACGTGTACCCATATCGCTGCTTGGTCAAGTGCGGCCTGGTCGACAAGATTATAAAAGCAATTGAAATGTTACTTGATCCATAAGGCATTGAACAAGAGACTATCACTGTATTTTATGCATCGTATATTGGTTAATGCAATTCAAATTAAAACTTACATATTTTTCATTAATACTTTTATTTTCTTTTTAAAAGATACATTTCTACAATGCTTGATAAATTTGAAAACGGCTCCAGCTATTGAGTATTATACATATATCTGTATATCATTAAGACAACAACCAAGACCCTTTCGCTTGAATTAAAGCATAAACACCAAATATGACCCCAAAATAGTTATTTGTTACGGAAGGCTGCAAAGTTGTAGTTTTAACGTGAGTGCTTGTATAGAAAACCTGAGCAAGCGAAAGGAGCAAAAACAGGTTTCTAAGCGTAGCGTACGGCACGAGATGCAAAACAAGTTTACTGCCGAGCGAAACATAATTTTTCACCTCACTACAGCGATGAAAATGGTAGACGAAAGAAAAATAGTTGAAAATTCATCAGTTTTTTTTAAACAAAAAAGTTTCTCTTTGGATGCGTTCCGAATTTGCGGAAGCCACTGTAATAGAAATTTAATATAAACCCATGAAAATAAATTTAATATTGCCATAATTGGCCATTTCTTGTTTGCGCCTCCATGTATATATAATCGGAAATTAATTCTGTAGCGAATCGCAACAGTCACTACAAATGTTTTATATTTAAATTCTACATTTAAATGTGATTGTTTTTGGCGCCTTTTCCCTTTTTGTTTGCTGTTTTGCTTTGATAGCGACATACGTGTTTTTGTAATATAAAATAATAAACTGTAAGTACATTTGTGTTGGCCTTGCTCTCTCGTTCATCATAGAAGGTTTATGATATGTGTATAGAGAAAAGTTCCTTAAAGGAAATCATTTTGTCACTCATCGTGGTAGGCACACAATAAAGACAAGATTTTCATAACGTACCATCACAGCACACGAAGTGTCATTGTAGAAGTGTTATAACGTGTTAAATTTAATTTCATACATTTAAAATGATCAGAAAATGAAAAGTGCAGACAAAAGTAGCTACCTCCATAGGTGCAATCTTGATGTTATGAATATGTAATGAAATATTTCTTAGTTTTAATTGAATAATTTGATAACAACCTTTCGAAATTGTATTTATACATACACTACTAAAAATACATCCACACACTATGGTTGACATATTTAAGAAACACTTCGTATTAATTGCCTTTGAAATAAGTACTTTATTTATCACATTAAAGACTGTTTATTCAAACGTAAAGGTGCTTAAGAAGGCGCCATTGACGGATTAGAACAACAACTGTCACGTTTTGATTAATTAAAATATTAGACACTTAAAATTACTGTAAAAAAAGAGAGATTAGGATTTTATAAAGATTTCTATATAACATAATAAACAACACAAATCCGAAGTAACTTTATATAGAAACATATAAAGATTTAGATAATAAATTGTTCACTTAAAACTTGTTTAAGAAAAAAAAATGTCATCATCACTATCATGTCATTTAAATTTCTAGAGTGTTAATTATCTTTACAGTGTGTTGATTTGCATTCTTGCATTTAATAATATAAATAATACTAAATCATTTAAAAATATTTTAAAAAATATTATGTGCAATATTCTGGCTAATTATAGATATCTAGTGAAGTTTAGCAAAATTGTCTCATGTCATATGCACCTCGCAAGGACAGTGACCCTGCCACCCACTTCACCGAGCGATACGTAGTCTTTCTCGATCGCTTATTTACCTATTTTTTTTAATATGATTATGTACTAGTATTGTTATGGAACCCAACCCACAAAACTCCCTCCGTGCAATTACCTCCGTGGCCGAACGGTTACCATGCCACGCAGAGGTCCCAGGTTCGATTCCCGGGCCGGGAGAAATGTTTGTATAGCTTACATTTATTTCTCTCGTGAGTTTGGGTGTAATTTGTGGTTGTCTATGTGTGTGTCCATGGCACCCGCGACACAGGGTTTCCCTAGTACGGGGCTATGTTGAGTGTGTGCGTTATTTATTATTAACAAAACCCGACGTCCCCTAGGACTTATGGTTTACCCAAAATCCACAAGCCTGATTGGCGTTTACAACCCATAGTCAGTCAGATTGATTCGCCGACCTTTAAGTTTGCCCGTCATATGTCTTCCTTACTATTAAAGTTCACGGGAAAGACCGCGAGTCATATAAGGGATTCGAGGCATTTCATCAGTTTGTTGAATGATATCCAGCTACGTGAAGATGAACTTATGGTGAGTTTTGACGTGACATCTCTTTTCACCAATGTACCGGTAGACAAAACAATTAAAATTATCTCAGATCTTTTAAGTGCCACAGATTTACCTGCCGTGTATATTTGCAATACAACAATTGAGTTTTGTCTGTAAAGTGGGTATTTGGTATGGCACGGTGATTACTACTTACAACTTGATGGAGTGGCCATGGGTTCACCAATTGCTCCCGTAACTGCTAACATCTTCATGGAGTGGTTAGAAGAAAAAGCTTTAAAAAATACGTCTGTAACACCTAGATATTGGTGGCGGTATGTGTATGATATTTTCACTATTATCTCGAAAAATAGTTTGCCGGAATTCGTTGACTACCTCAATTCTGTGCACGATAAAGTTAAGTACACGGTGGAGAGAGAAAGTGAAGGAGCACTGTCATTTTTGGATGGTTTGGTTATGCGTCAACCTTGTGGTCGTTTGTTTACTACAGTTTACCGTAAGCCGACGCATACTGACCGGTACCTTAGGGCAGATTCACACCATCATCCATGCCATTTATCTTCTGTACCTAGAACATTGATCGGTCGAGCCTTAAGTCTGTGTGATCCACAATACGTGCACCTGGAACTAGATTATGTTAAACGTGTACTGGAAAGCAAGCGGCCTTAACTGGAGGCATTGTAATCGTGTCGTGAACGGCGGTAGTGGAAGGACTGCCGATATACTTACCTTACATTAGGGAGTAACGGTTAAAGTCGGACACTTGTTACGCCGAAGATATGGCATCAAGACGATTTTCCGCCATCACATGCAACTTAGGCAGTTGGTGCGTTCACCAAAGGATAAGGAGCCATTGAATGTTCCCGGTGTATATAAGATTTCCTGCTACTTTGGCAAGAGTTACATAGGACAGACCGACCGTAACATATCCACACGACTAACGGAACACATACGTAGTATTAAGAACCGGGACAATCGCGGCTCTGCAGTGACGGAAAACTCATTGGATTCGGATTCGACGCACTATATTCGTTTTGATGAAGTGTCCTTACTGGCAAGAGAAAAGCATTTTATTCCGCGGAAAGTACGTGAAGCTATCGAGATTGGTCGTCATTCGAATTTCAATCGTGATAGTGGATGCTCGGTTGGAAAACTCCGGCTGGAAAACAGTGTCAGGTACTACGTCAGTGGTTACTGTAGACGAGACTTTAGAAAGTGACGTTGTTAGTGTAGTGTGCAATCCTATGATATATGACTATAACTTTATATGACTTTAATAAAAATTAAGCAAACGAGGTTAGATTCTCGCCGACGCCGCTGCCGTACTGAGTGATCGGGCTGCCAGGGCTTTGGCGCGCAGTTTCCGTCGAGTCACCGCTGCGGAATTTCATGATTAAGGACCACGAATTGGTTCGAAATATGTCGAGCAAAAATTCGACTTAAATACGTGAGTTATCCGTTATTTTTAGTTAATATGTCTGAGTCTCACGGTGGTTTTCCATTTAAAAGTATTGTTACAATTTACTATTAATTAGAAAAGTTGACTGAAAAATTTTTTTGTACGTAGATTTGGTACTTAACACCTTTAGATTACATGAAAGTATTGCTAGAAGTACTAGCTCCATAGCTGGTGTCTGGCTCCATACCGGAGGCACCACCAGCTAAGCAGAGATTCGCACGTGAGTTTCGTTTCAACATTAGACTTCACAACTTTGAATGCAGAAACTTCGACACTCGCATCTTCCGCGTAAACTAAACGTTTCACATCATGCGATAAGAATAGACATGTACTTGTATACTTGATGAACCTGGTAGCGGTTCTTTTGTGCACTACTAACTCTTGTTAACATACAAACCACGTGGCATTTCGTGACAGACTAGAATAAAATGTACCTATGCGGGATGTCAGCGTGACGTAGACGCAGTACGGGAAGCAACTGATCTACCAATCACACGCTCGATACGACACTCCCCCACCGTCGCTACCCGCACCCCACCACCAAATCGATCTAAAATGCGTTTCTTTCTGCGCATTTTAGGTCATTGTTCAAAATGTTTGCAAGTGCCGTGCAAGTCAATGACCTTTGGATGAAATTTGTTTACAGCAATTAAATAAAAATAGGAATTTACGAAATTTTTTTATCGATTTCTTTTTTTAGTGATTTGTGTTCAGTTTCGGATATAGTATGACCTCTGTAAATATGGCGAGAATGCAAATCAACACATTGTATAATTCATGTTAATTTAGTGTTTATCTTTAATTAGATAATATATGACATCTAGTTAGTTTCGAATTACGTCAATATTATTATTATAAGCTTATTAAAAACAGACGTCACAAAAAAAAACAAAATGCTAGTTCATGGCATTTCGTCTCCATTAGTAGCAGTAGAGTGTCCTTTTGGAAGAGTTCATTCAGGGAAGTACTGCCACCTTACCTATTTCTGCCGCCAAGCAGTAGTGTCATCTCTGCAGTGCCGTCGCACTGAAATATAAAAAGATTTTAAAATCACGTTTTAGTTCAAATCAGTCAGCCGTGACCATGGGACCAAGAACCCGAAACGTTCATTTATTTAAAACAAAAACAAATATACGCAACTTAGATGCGAAAAAATAGTTTCATTAATATTAATAATAATTATAGTAGTTTGTAGAAAAGATCTCATTTAGAGATCAGTCCACCTTTACTCACCTTTTACGTAATTAATATTTACAAGGTTTTTGTTTGTTACAAATTAAATAATATTATATTCTTTCAACATAAAGCAATCGTCTGTCTATAAGTTGTAACGTCATTGCTATAAACCCTACACTATACTGTTCGACTTATCCTTAGGATAAGTTCCTTCACGTAACCTGGCTTCTCATTATCCCATTTAAAGTCAATAAGCTGGTCACCGAACTGTATTTAAGACTAGTGAAAATACTTTTAAGTTGTTACTAATAAAGTTATTCAATATATATACGAGTATGTACAGTGCATTTTTAATAATAAAAATCAGTACAGAGTACAAAAAACCTACCTCAAAAGTTCGTGGAATTCAATCTATTTGCCAAGTTTTATCGAAAACGGTTACCGGAAAGTGCGCGAAACCGGATTAATTCCTAGTTTGCCACCCTTGGAGGTGGAAAAATTTCTTTAAATTTAAATAGGACCAATACTGAGGTACCTTTTTTCCAATAAAAAAGAATTATCAAAATCACATACAAAAAAACATACAGTCGAATTGAGAACCTCCCTTTTTTTAATTCGGTTAAAAACCGAACAACTATAAAGTCTGAGCTAAAACAAAAGAAAAAGTTTTAAAACGTGTAGCAACTATTTAGTAAAAATACTAGACAGCATCTTTTCTCTTGCACCTACCTATTTTTCTAGATGCGCAGTCTAATTAGTTATAGTTCTTATTAAAAAGAAGACAAAGGTTATAAGCTACCTACCCTAACAAAATAATAATAATAATGATTTAATATCTCAACACAAAAGATCTCACAACAAACTACAAACGATGTTCTAATCCGTGTGAGGTGCTTGTAAGAGATTGGAGCCCGTAGTAGGAATTAGACCTGTCCATCTCAGACTAGTCATACCCATGTCATACCTAAATAAAACGTGTTAGCATACACAGTTGTTATACACAGGGAACATTCCACACTAAATTTAGTCTAAATCAAACCGAATAAAACTTGTATGAATTTGGCACGTGTTCATATCGACCTTGGAACGGTAAAATGTCTAAAGTGCATTTGGAAAATATTACAGGAGAGCGATTTAAAGTATTTTTTTAAGCAAAAGTGTCATATCTCAAATTATGTGTGTTTATGGAGTATTGGAACTTTCTAGTTTTTCATATAACAAATAAAATTAGTTATGATTTCTTTTTTTATTGCTTTAAATCACTTAAATACTGTAATATTTTCCAAATGCACTTTAGTCATTTTATCTTTCCAGGGTCGATATATTTTTTATGAAATTATTCCAGTTGTTGGTTATTATTATTATTGATACAAAGATTGAACAACACGAAGAAAAATTAATCTCATCTAACTGGACGTGAACCTGCGTCTGTTGCCACACCTTAGCCACCGCCCAACCAAGCTACAGACTATTGGGTATAAACAGTTTTTTGGCATAAGTGCCACCTGTGACAAAACTTATGAACCATAACAACTACCAAAGGCTGACAACTTATTACAGCGACATCTCTCGTCAGCCTCAACATAAAGATAAATTCTTAAGGTTAGCTGGTAAGAGCGGTGTGGTTACAGTATGGCAGCAGACGTTGGTTCGTGTACAGTCGAGTTGAAGGAATTTGATACGTATCGCCAATAAAAATAAAGCATTGGTAGTCTAGTGGGAAAACAGTTGCTTCTCGATTAAGAGGTCAACGGTTTGAGTCCCTGTAGCGGTATGTACCTACGATTTGTGAATGTATAGAGGCAATACCTCTCACGTTGAAGCAAGTTCACCATTTTGGGCCAGTGTCACCACACAGCCATAGTCCACCGACTATGGCTTGATTCATACCGCCGAGACGCAACCCAACGCGACGCGGCGCTACATTAAAACGAGCAATGGAACACTAACTTTATCCTCTACAAAATAAGGCAACATTTCATTAAACAAACAAATGAGAACGAAGCTGCAGCAAGCGGCAACGGGCTGCAGCAAGCTGCGGCGGGCGCACTTTGTTAAATGCAGTATACTATAGAACATATTCTCTACTAAATAAAGTATACATTTCTTACAACTGTTGGCGACGCAGCACGATGCAGCGCTGCTTTTTGCTTTGCTTTCAAAGAAATATCGACTTTGTTTAGTAAACATGAAATTCTATACTACATTGCATCTACCACGCAATATGTCTTTCAAAGAAATATACCTTATTATTGGGAAGCTAAGTTACACTTTGCATTGCTGGAGGCGGAACAAGTCGCCGACGGTCGCCAACCGTTGCCTACCGTCGGCGTCTTGTTTTTTGTTGTTTGAAGAAATGTGTACTTTATTTAGTGAGGAATATGTTCTATAGTATATTGCATGTTATAAAGTGCGCCTACGGCAGCTCTCTGCAGACCGCCGTCGCTTACTGCATCTTCGTTTTCATTTGTTTGCTTAATGAAATGTTGCCTTATTTTGTAGAGGATAAAGTTTATGTTGCATTGCTCGTTTTAATGCAGCGCCGCATTGCGTAGCGTCTCCGCAATGTGAATCAACGCTTAGATTTAAATCGCGTAATCGCGCAGTCAACCGTGACCATGGGACCTGTAAAGGACCCGAAGTTGGTTAGTTTGAAAAAACAAATATATGCGATTTAAATCCGGAAAAGTACTTTCATTTCCTATTTCAAATTGTAGTTTAATAAAAGCTTGTTTTTGTAAGTTTGACTATGGCTGAGAGTTAAATTTGTATACAAAGGAAATATTTTGTTTGGACGTAATCTTGAATTTCAAAGTCTATTCAGATGTAATAGGTGTCTTTTAACCTTTTTATTCAACATTTGAATAACCTCGCCTTGGTTGTAATATATTGTACATACAGCGGGATTTCAATATTTTTTCATTCGAATTTCATTCATGTTTACTCGTATACATCTAGATGTCTGTGTATTTACTTAAAAAACCCTGAAAAACAAAGTAAAAGTCAGAGGACTACCACTGACATTTACTGTTTTCACTACTAGCCTCGATCCATTTGTGTCCAATGTTCCGCAACATGCATACACTGCATTAAAACATTCTTTTTTTACAAAAAATAAGTGCGCGTTTGACCTCCTACTCACCGGATGGAAAGTGACGATGAGGTCGACGATGTAACATGTACATCTAAATAATGCCCCTCAGATTATAAAACATAGGCAGACGGAGCGCGCAGAACACGAAAGTGAAGCCACCAACGCAAATACAAGTTCAAAAGCAAATACAAACTCGCGTCAGTACTAAGCACAGTCTCAAATTGTTTGCTTGTCAGGAGTGATTAGTTATTTTATATTTAAAAATGCCATTTTATTTCTTTAAACATTCTAAAAGTTGTTCCCATAAACAAAAAAATAAGATGTAACATCTTTTCATAGAGAATTATTTATTGAACTGGTTTATAATTTATTTACCCAATATTGTTTGAGATTCACTCGGTACACAAATTATCTCGACATAAATTATGGAATATATAATATGGAATATATATATTTTAATATATTCATTATATATATACATTTATGTGTGTATATATATACATATATGTATATAATTAATATATTAAAATAAAGTAAATATGCGTGGGTGATAGGAGCATCGATTAATTTACGCTTTTATGTAGAAATGAAATAATGCATGCGTATACATATAGGCTGGTCCATTTACAGCGGTCCAAATGTGTTTTTTAGGTAACTCAGTTTACCTAAATTATTCTCAAACCAATGTCTAATAGCCGTTATGTACACAAAAGAAAACGTGGCCCTATAAATACAGAAAACTTTCAGTGTTGTGTGCACATGTTATAAACGGAATGATTTTGAAAGAAAACGTGTCAATAAAATAAAATAAATACTGTAATGTATTACATACCTTCACAGGTTGTAAAGTTTCATTGGGAACCAAACAAAATTGTTTGGCAACCATCTTCTAGTTAGACATATTTATGTCTAACTAGAAGATGATTGTCAATGCTATGGAATTGATTACAAAGTTAATTTAATAAAAAAAAAGAATAGTATTTGATGGTACGATAGCACTACATATCAAAATCCGAAACGAATGCTCAATGTGTACACGCGACACAGTAGTATTATAAAAACGTGTACAAAATAAATGTTATTAAAATATTGTGTAACTGTGATTGTAACAAATATTTTGAATTGTCAAAGTTTTTCAATTTGAAAATATCTCAATAAAATATGTTTTCCCTTGTGTGATGTAAATCAAATAATAACAATTTCATATTAACTTATATTGCATATAATTTATTTGATATCTTAATACCACATAAGTACCATATTGCAAAATAACATTTCCAGTTTGTAACATTAGTATTACAGAAAGCAACAGAAAAAATGCGGGAGTTTTTTCGCTGCATCTGGCAATCTTACACGCACACAAATGCGCATGTCCCTATAGCGCCCCTCCTAGTTGTCACGAACACAATACATGAAAAGCGGCTTCACATCGTTTGTTGTGTATGCTCCATCTGCCTATGTTTTGTAATCTGAGTAATGCCCATTCACTCTCGCCTTGTGTTAAACCGTGAGGCGTGGTAAATGAAAACGCAGGCTGTGACTTGTATGTTTCGTGTTAAGATGATGGATAAGAGAGTGAGCAAGTTTTACAATTTTACTTATATACTACAGCAAGGCGCCCTCTGGCGCTTTGGATATACATTATAATCGATTACGATTACACGACTAGCGCCATCTAGCGAGCGGCCACAGAACTGGGTGGTTTGTATAGTTTACTAGGCAACTGACGTAAGACACCGCGATACAGTGCCGCGGCGTAGTGTTAGCAGACGCTCACTAGGTGGCGATCCTTACACTTTGAAAAGGTCCAAGTTATAGGAATAAGGAGAACAAGTCCGCAGGCAGGGAATTCCACTCCCTAGTCGCTCGCTGTATAATATGGAAGCCAAACGCTTCGTGCGAATCCTGGGAATATCCACAACTTAGAGGTGGAACCCCAGCCCACGTATTAGTAATAAGTAATTTTATATCACCCTGTTGCAATGCCGTTAAATCTGAGTGCTACAAAAGCCATAAAAATGTTTGACATAGTCCTATCTTGTATTTAAACTCAGAGTCGACATCTTGAATAGTCTTTCTGTCGTAAAAATAGCATCATCTAAGACAAAATGGTAAATGACTTAAGTGTACTGAAGACCAAAACAGATTCACCAATAATTAATTTTTATAAAGAAAAGTGTATTTTTTTGTCCGGTGGAACAGGATTTTTGGGAACGGTAAACGATTTAATTACATTTAGTTATAATCGAATAATGGTTAAATAAATAAGAGATTCTATGAGTATACAAAAGTGCCTAGATCTAGCTCATAAATTGAGTATTGTTAATCATTACAGTTGGACGGAGACGTGTGATGTTTTTTATTAATTGTGATAATAATGGAAATAATGGGAATCTTAAAAACCACTTTAGTGTTTTATAATTTTGTTTTTTTTTTATTGTGCTTGCCATTGTAAAGAACACCCACTAAAGTTCGTTCAACTCTCATCGAAACTAAACGAAACGATCAGGATAGAATAGAATAAGCTTTATTGCACACAAAATAAAAAAACAGTAACAATACAAAAAGTAAAACATATTTAAAGGTACAATTACAGGATTACGCTAATTAATAATAATATTTTCAAATGATCCAAAGGGCTGACCACACAATCCAGCTACACTGTCAGTAATGTTAAAGTGTCCGTGTAAACTATGTAAAAGATAATGGTACCCAGAACAAGAGACACGCACACATGTACAAGAGTACATGGCTGGCCCAAGTTCACTCGTGGTAAATCGCAACTATGTAGCCGAATCATAAATCTCTTAGATAAATCCAGCGGAAATTACACAAAGTGACAAATCAATATACAGCGGCTTCTAAGCTTATAGACTACACAATGCAATTGTAATGTAGTCAAAGCTGGATTTACATTTGTCCAACGTGTCGTGTCGTGACGCGACAGAACGGTATCAGTTTCATACATTTAATATGATTAGATTTATATCAGTGTGTTGTGATATATCTGATGTGACGGCTTGTGCTGTGTGTATGAAACCGATTTCGTTCTGACGCGTCACGACACGACACGTTAGACAAATGAAAATCCGGCTTAAATTTGAAACGTGATTTGGCGCTCGTAAATTCCGCCTTTATGCCTTTTAACTTCATCCCTTGCCTAGGTTTAGGTGTATCGTCTCCAAATACTACAGTACCGGCACGCTAGGATGGCCGTTTTGACACATTACAATAGTGAGGTCAAATTTCCATTCATTATCGAAAAAAATATATAATCAAATATGAGTCACATCCATAAGTTTTTTAAATTTGTAACTAGTATTGCAAGGGGTGTAGCTGTTTAAAAAGTTTTAATGAAACGAAAATAAAAATGTTTACTTAATATGTCGTTATTTCGAAAATGCTTTGTTGTGCATTGAGCTTTGACGCGAGTTTGCTGGAGATAGAAGTTGTGCTGGCCAGCGAACCCACAAGTGTCGATCGTATTCGATATCATTGTTTAAAATTTCGAATTTCGATCACAAATACGAAGTTGTGTCGTAAAATTATACATTCCTTAAATTTTACTAAAAAATTAATGATGTTACATAAGCAATTTCAATATTACGTTTGTGCTAATATAAAAATGTAATGTGTTTCAGTTTGTTACGTTGACTATTTTTACTTTTTAGATTTTTCATTTTGCTCTTACGAGTTACTTATTCAATATTAAAGTATTATTATCTGTCTATACTGGACTCCAAGTATTATTATTATTATTGTTATCCTGTTGTGTCCCATTGCTAGGCGATGGTATTCTCTTATACTCCATTGGTCCTGATTTTGAGCTGCATCTAGCCAGTCCTTTAAAAGGGAGTCCAATTCATCTCGCCATCGCCGAAAAGGTCTGCTGCATCTACGTTTCGAGTTTCGGAGCTTCAACTCTAACTATAAGTCACATATGCATATAGCAGGTGTGATCAACCCAGTTCCACTTCAACTTGACCACCTTCCGAGCTACATCGACAATTTGGGTTTGTGAGCGCAGCGTATGTTCCGGATATGAACCATTAGTTTTATGTCTAGTATGCTGCGCTCTACAGCTCACTGGAAAACTCCGAACTCCGAAACTTTTGAACTCCTGAACTTTTAGAGACCAAGTTTGGGCACCGTAGGTTAGAACTGGAAATGTGCAATGCAGATTTGCACATATCCATGACTCTACGCTTAAGTGACAGCAGTAGGTCACCCGTCATTAAATGTCCCATGGACCAATTTTTAAATTTACAAGTGATGCTTTAAGACTGGTCATACCAAATTAACTTTTTAGGAGAGAACATAGTGCGATCGAGCAGTTATATTTAAATGTGTCTATTGTTTCAGGTGATAATTAACAAACTTCTACTCACATGTAAAGATTTAAAAAATATTTATTTATTGATCAAGCCTAAACATAATCAAAGTATCAAGGACAGATTTGACAACCTGATGAATTCAAAAGTACGTTACTTTTTATTTGTACTGAATGAATGCGTCAAAGCGACACGACCGTGATTTTACATATTTCCTCACACGGTTGACGATCACCGACAGCAACACACCAACTCCGCCCATTTCATATTATTAATAAATTACAGACCGTTAACCCATCGTCGCACACCGGCCCTGTCTTCCCTTGGTGCGCGCGCGCGGATGTGGCCTCGTATGAGGTGATTGGTAAAATCACGGACAGCGGGAAACCGCTAAATGCTATAACGTTGTAGGTTTATATTCTGTACCTGTATATAGGTGTCATTCTGTGCGTGTTCATATTTTTAATGAATACAAGGTACGAAGTAGAGCCTATTATCAAATTTCTCACCTGAACTTTTTATATGCCAAATATAATAAAATTTCACAACAAATATATTATGTGAATGTGTGTTCGCTGTGTATATACATCGAGCAACCGCGCACAGACGAATAGATATACAAATTATTTAAATATGTATTATATATTGGATGCTTATTTGTAATTAGTAGATTACAGTGCCCGGACATGGTGCATGTTTGTTTGGGTTACTATTTTATGCACTATTCATGAAAAATTAAAAACTTTTTTAGGTCTTCGACAAGGTGAGGGAGTGTAACCCGAATACATTGAAGAAGGTCATACCAATATCTGGCAATTTGCTCGATGACAACCTTGGTCTTAGTCAAGTGGATATTCAGACACTATATAATGAGGTTTCTTACTTTTTGTTTAAAAACACCAAAATAAATCGTCCATTTTAATTAATAATATAATATATTTACTACCACATGATTTTTTGTCAAAATACTCCACTAGTTTGTGATTATTGTAGATATATTTTATACAGAGTGTTTTTTTAATGGGACAGTATGGGGAAATATAATAATAATAATAATAACGCACACACTCAACATAGCCCCGCACTAGGGAAATCCTGTGTCACGGGTGCTATGGACACACACATAGACAACCACAAATTACACCCAAACTCACGAGAGAAGTAAATGTAGGCCATATAAATATTTCTCCCGGCCCGGGAATCGAACCTGGGACCTCTGCGTGACAGTCTGGCATGGTAACCGTTCGGCCACGGAGGCAGTCAAATCCGAAACCATAGAAGATACAAGGAAAAAGTCATATGAACCATTAAATCTTTTTTTGTGTAAAGTATTTTGGCATAGTACATTTTTTTGGTCAAGCATGAGTTGTCCATAAAAATGAATAAAATTGATCAAAATTTTTTTTAGTGCTCAACATCATGAAGGAATGGTCAAATATCATAAAATATTATTTATACAAAATTAATAAAATTTATATATTTTTTAATGCCAATAGACTCAGTTTCTTATAAGAATGATTTAATTGTGTTAGAATCAAAGAATCGGGACAGCAGAAGTGGGTCTAAGTTATTTTATTTATTTCAACTTTATTATATACACTGAAGTACAAATGGCAGACTTAATGCCATAAGGCATTCTCTACCAGTCAACCATTGGACCAAACAAAAAAAACACAATAGGTTGGTGCTACACTTAAACAAGAAGAACAATATACCAGAAAACTAATCGATAATTTGTATGGTATAAATAGACAACATAGTATAAACATACTTATTATACATAAATAATAAACTTACATATATATATTATAATAATAAATAATATGATATATGTACCCAAAGCAACATTATACAGTGACTTAATTTTGACAATTGTCAAACAGATGCTTGCACAACATGCGCTTGAAAAATAATTTGGTCTGAGCTAGTCTTACACGGAGCGGGAGCGTGTTCCAAAGACGAATTGCATGAAAGGTACAAGAATTAGACAAAAAATCAGTGCGATGAAAAGGTATTCCTTCCGAAAGCTTAAGGCTACGGGAAGATCGAAATTTGAAATTTGCAACCCGGCCGAGCGTTTTGAAATTATATGTGCAGCCGGGTCGAACAAGATGGAGAAAAGAGTGGTTAAAATTCTTAAGGACCTGCGTTCACGGATGGGAAGCCAATTTAGTTGACAACACAAAGCAGAGATGTGGTCATACTTCCGCAGACCAAAAATAAACCTAATGCAGTTGTTAAGAAGACGATCTAATCTATTCAAAAAGACTTGAGAGATGTTACTGTAACACACTTCAGCATAATCAATCACAGGCAACACTAGAGCTTTAACAAGGAGAGTTTTGGTTTTAATTGGAAGAAAGTTCTTAAACCTGTATAGAGCTCTTAGTGTGTCTGTAACCCTACGACAAACGTAAGACACCTGGGAATCCCACGTAAGGCCTGTGTCAATAATAAGCCCCAGGTTCTTTACCTGATTTGAGAGAGAAATCACTACGTTCTCAAACATTATTGGTGGCACGCACGACATATCACAAGACGAAAAAAGGCGTGAGCTTCCAAGGATGATGGCTTGACACTTGGAAGGGTTGATATTGATACCAAACCTTTGGGACCAAACCAAGACGCGATGAAGGTCATCATTAATTAATACAATTGCATCACTGATGCCACCGAATTTAACCTCGGTATAAAGCTGCAAGTCGTCGGCATACAGGTGGTAAGAACATTTGATGCTGGACGTAATCAGATTTATGAAAATAGAAAACAAGAGAGGAGAGAGAATTCTGCCCTGAGGTACCCCGAAAGAGAGTTTACATAATTCTGAGAACGAGCGATCAATACGAATCGCTTGTTGGCGATCGCGGAGATAAGAAGAGAACCATTGAGCTGCCGTTGAAGAGATGTTTAGGTGGTCTAAGGTAGCAAGGAGAAGGTCATGATCCACGACATTGAATGCATTGGAGAAGTCAATTAGGACCAGCACAGTAAGTAGAGTACAGTCCATGTTCTTACATCCTCAACAATCTTTAGCAAGGCAGTAGAAATACTAGGACCTGGTCGAAAACCTGATTGAAATGGAGAAAGGATATTGTTTGAGTAAACATAAACAGACAATTGTTTGTGAACGACAGCCTCTAAGACTTTAGAAAGAAAAGGAAGAATTGAGATGGGACGGTAATGCTTGAGGAGACTGGGGTTAGTAACTTTTGGAAGAGGGATTATATGAGCATTTCGCCACAGAGAAGGAAAAGCCCCAGTCATCATCAAGAAATTAACTACGTGCGTGGTAATAGGGAGTATACATTCTAAAATACACATTACCATAATTCTACTTACGTCATCGTGTCCAACAGCATTAGATTTGATTGACAAAACCACTTTCCTGACCTCATCTTCAGTTACTGAGGTGAAAATAAAAACAGAATTTGAAATTTTGGGCAGTGCTCTAATAAATGCAATACTTTGTTGTTTGGTGTTGGTGTCTAAAGTTGCAGTTTTGGCATTTTATTAAAAAAAATTAAATTTTTTTTTTAATCTTTTTTTAATTTAAAAAAAAAATTGAATGAATTCTAATTTAATTAAATTTGACCAACTTCTTTTGCCCAGATTTTTTCGTCCTATACAATTAAATGATCTCTTATAAAACTGACTCGATCAGCAAAAAAAAATTGATAAATTTTATTCATTTTTATGGACAACACGATTAACCAACGAAATGGACTCAAAATTAAGCCTGTTATCACACCGGGTGAAAAGCCGTTTATACGCAATAACTACAAAGATCTGCTACAAGGGCATAAAGAGATTCGTAGGATCTGCTGACTTGGTCTGTAGCTCAGTTGCTAAGAGCGGTGGCCCCAATGTGGGAACTGACGCTAGTTCGAGTCCAATAAGATCGACGGAATTTTTCTTTTTGTTGTTCGATCAAAAATAATAACAAAATCAATCTCCGTTGGTCTCCGTTCGTTTCGCGACTTAGTTGGCGTAGCGTCTGGCACGGTTTGCTAGGAGACGTTGGTTTGAATCCAGCCGGATCGAAGTGATTTTATCTAAGTGTCCGATTTTTGATTCCTCTCCAGTCTCATGTGCCTGTAATTTCACCAGCACCCATACCCTACAAAACCGGAACACAATAATGCTGACATTACCTACTCAGGATTATAAAAACGTATTCGATTGAATAAATGATGTCAACTGTGCCCGCCAGTAAACCCATGACCATAGACCGCAAAAGCGCACTAATATATCGGGTAAAGAATAAAATGTATAACTCAATGATCTTATATTGGTATAACTATAATAGTAAATACTGTGTGAATTTTACTAAAATGTATAAAAGAAAAAAACAGTCATAATTATCATGGTATTAACACATGGTATTAACCAAGTAACAAGTGATATAATCATTTAAACATTTTTCTATTTAATTTTAATAGTATTGAAGGCGATAAAAATTAAGGTAAGTGTAATGACTAAAACCTTCATACCTTAATGGCTACAATTAAAAGCATTATTAATTAATAATAAATTTAACTTAATAAAAATTCATATTGTTAAAATAAAATAATTTGAAACATAATGTAGCGTAATTAGAAAGTTTCTTTGTAAAATTAAAAATAAGATGTTTAATCAAAAACTTTTTCACAATAGAGTGAAAAAATAAAGTAGTTTGCATTAATATTCGACATAACTGGTTGATGATTTTACCACCTCAGTCAACCATCTTAAACGTTGGTTCCAAAAACAAAAATAAAACAAATATACGCTATTTAAATCCGGAAAAATAGTTTCATTTCCTAAGCATTAAAAATTCCAATACTATTTGAGACCGTATTAAAAATTCATTATTTCAGTAATTTATTCACAATTTTCCAAACTATCGATTAAAAACTTTATAATATATTATGATTTATGAACATTTAATGAAGCCGTAGTTATCTAATGGTTTGACCTACCGTCTGTTAAGCAGAGACCGTGGGTTTAAATCCGTGAGTGTGAAATTTAATTTGAAATTTGTGGCCCGAACCCTCGCCTGAAAGAAGACCCGTGCCTGGCAGTGGGACGTTTAAATGAGTTGATGATGATGATGAACATTTAAAGACATATAATATTACTTTGTTTTACTTACTTTTAATTACATATTTCT